GGTGCGTTCTACATGGTCTCCCTGAAAACAAGACCAAGTTGCGACAACGAGGTCAACCCACTTCTATTCTAGTTTTCCTTATCTCACTTTCGCCTATGTACCATGTAAATCTAGCTATCAAGCTTTTACTTCACAATCTTCTTTAATGTACTGTGAGGCGACCCTCAGTTTACCACCACATCTCTCGAGCGGAGTTCTAATCGAAATTGTCTAGCGCTTCTATAGACAGTGCCAAATCTATGAATTTCATATTCCCTAGACCCTCGTTTGCCAGTACTTCAAAATGTTATAGCTGTCTACTTGCTTTGACTAGGCACACTGAGGTTGCCCTCAGTTGATTTCTCAGTCTCCCGAGGGCCTCGTGTGATTCCTTTTCTCACTGTCCACTATACTTCCTTGATCTAGTCATTATCTTTTATCTGATCTCAAAATTTTCTTAAACTATACACAAGGTTTAAGCTAATTCTGCCCTCTTCCAGTCTTCTGTTCATCAGATTTCATTAAATCAACGGCCTCTAATCCTGCGCTTCCTTGCATTTTCACAATACGCAATTAATCCTTCTGTTGCCTTCCAGTCTATTTCGTATCACGCCCGCGTAATGTATTCTACTATTTTGGATCCTTGCGTAGCCAAATTTCTGTAGTCTTTAGTGATCCTTGAATCATCATCCCATTTTTATTCTTTCGACAATATAATTATGCCCGCAGTTGCTTTATGATATACAATAAACTCCCAGCAAAAGAAAATATTAATTTCTCCGAGTATATTTGCAATAGTTTAGTCTGAGTAAACTCAGGAAGAAAATAACGAATAAGAAGATAAGGTCGATAATCGGTATAAATTAAATAGTACATTATAAATCATGAAAATAAGTAAGTGCCCTTGAAAAAATAAGCTCTATAAGCAAATAAGAGGCTGATACAAGTCTCTGACTTCATCTCAGCATCTTTATAAAGAGAAGTTCTTAGTCCTTAACTTTACACCAATTTAATAATACTTGATTTAATCAAAATCCACTTCAACCATGCAAAAAATGAATCATCTCAAACTACTTTGCGTTTCATCTCACCATCTAACTTCTGTCACGAAATAATTGACTTGCTTCATGAGAAATAAATACATTATCTATTGCCTTACTAAATTTAAGTCAAAACATTCATAATCGGTATCTAGCATTTTCTAAAACTTACCAGGTCCACTAGAGCATGCACCGCCATCAGACATGCCCAACTCTTCATCCTCAACGAACTCTGCGTCATCGGTACCGACTTCAATGCCACTTTTTGATTGGCTAGAGGCTAATACAGCAGACCGAGATGAAGTATGCTGAGATGACTGTTTTTTCAAGCAACGGCCATTTGACGATGCACCATAGATGTTACCTAGACCGTCTCCAGCAGAAGCAAGTGGCTCTAGACCCAAGGTATTTTGAGCCCTATTTCCGCTGCAGGCTGAGTCTGCTGGACCACCAGCCTCGTCCGAGGAAGAGCTTACTTCGGCAGCATTTGTGCCAAGCTCGGTGTCGTGGATACCAATTAGAAGGCTATAATCCATCAGATTGTTGTTCTGCAAGAACTTTAAGGTACAGTATGGAGAAAAAGTTTACAATAGCTCTCAAAGTTTACTGATGGCAGCGACTATTCTTTTACTATTTGCAGCTTTCCTCTTTCCATCAATTAAAGTTCAGAGAAGGTGAGATAAAAGAGATTAGTTTCGAAAAATCCCCTAATAATAATAATAATTTCAAGTCACCGGACTTTTCACTCAAAATTAAATAAGGTTCAGAAAATTTGCCTCATTCGAAATTGAATGAGAATTACCTTGGATTTACAGTCTTGTGATCCCGATTAATTCCTGTTGAGTTTTCGTCTGTTATGTGGCAGAGCCATACGCCATTTATTAGAACTCACCAAAGAATAAGCCAAGAATAGTAGCCAGCTGCAACCTAAACCAAATTTTCTGATCAGGTGCACCATTTTTGGCTATTTAATGCTTACCATAAATGCTTTAGTAGGAAAAACCTGCTAGAATTCCACCATTTCATATCCACCTCAATAATCTTCAAGCGGGTAGAGGGAAGCCTGAAATAGGCAAATAAATTATAGGATGTCTCATTAGGATCTAAAAATTGCCGGGTAAAAAATATTTAACTGTAGTTGGGCACCACTCTTGGCCTAGTCTTTTCTAGGTTTTGATGACTTGCTGTGGACCTTTATTTACATTTGAATGGCGAATGGGAGGGATTTGTAAGGTGAACATGAAACTTAATAAAGTTCGCAAAGCACTGAGATAATGCAGATGACCAGCTGCAATCCTACCTTCTTATAGCTTGGCCTTATCCACTTAGTGAGGCCTCTCATGATTTGGTTTGATATTTAATGCTTTTCATACATGCATACAAATGAAGTGGCTGAAAATGAAGCGTGAAATGTATGTGGCTGAGACCTAAAATACTTCTGCATTTTTGATCCGGCAGTATTTAAGCATATAAAAGTGTTCGCTTGAACGTATGTTTTGAACATGTAATGCCCGTAAATCGTATCCAGCCGTGAAGCTACTCACTTCTCCACCTGCTTAGGGGAACTTTTGCTTCTACTATTTACTTCCCTAACCATGCCAAACAGCCTCAGGTAGTTTCAGCTCAATTTACTGTACTTATTCTTTCTATTTAGGGTGTCAGGTGTTTGGTTGGTTTTATAGACTCGCTGTCACATATTTTCCATATCTTGCCAAGTGTTTGGTTTTATACCAGTCTAGCTGGTTTATGTATATGTTCAGCAATATGAAGAGATTGTGGTCGGAGAAAAATTTGAAAAAGAAATCAAAAGCATGCTCAAAGTAAAAAACCAAGCTGTGCACATTATTTGAGGCAAGATTCACAAAAAAATTTATTTAGGCATAAAATGATATATGTAGTAATGATATAAAAACAAGAGCTAATTTATATTTATCCTTTTGGTGACAAATCTTGATTCCTAATTAATAATTCACTGAGAATGTAAACGCTTTTCAATTGGATTAAGATTTCTAGCTAAACTGCAAAACCATCAGGATGAAATACGCGAAACCAAGGAGGAACCAGCAGTTGAGCCCAGCTAAAGATGAACTTATCAATTGTTCCATTCTTATCCTTTGTTACATTATGCAATATATAAGGATTGATATCAAATAGCATGCTGTCAGTTGGAGTCACAAGAAAGTTATCTTAACTTAGGGGATCCTATGCAAAAAGCAATGCGAAATATTTTTAAGTAAAAAATGCTATGTCAAATAAAAATGATAAGAGATATCAAAGCATCCATGAAAGTTCACGCATGCATGCGTAGTGATATAACATGCCAAATATCTATCAAAATGTTGTTTAAAGGAAAGATGCACGGATAAATAAATAGTAGGAAAGTGTGTTGCTTCCAAATAAAAATAAAAATAAAATAAAATTTCGAAATTGAGACAAATTGTGGAAAATAAAACATAGAATATATCTTCAGAGTCAGAAAACATATATTTTATCATTATCTTTTGTTCTTGTGCAATACAAGTAAAAT